AAGGGGCGTGTCAGAGGAAGCCTTGATTCGAAGCTTGTGTTGTTAACATAGAAATCACGTGACCAATGACAAACGAAGCTTCACTTTCTGTCCAGTCACGTGCCTGATTCGATATTCGATATTCACATTCGATGTGATATTCGTACTGGTATTAAATTGCAGTTTAATGGGTAAATTAATTTATCAGAGACAGGAATTCAACAAGCACAAACACACACACTGGCTTTTATTTGTGCACGTAACTTGAATCGATCTGTGGAATATGTGGTAGATGCCTCGTCCTACGGAGCGTCTTTCACACAAGTACTGCTCACTGCAGAGCCAAATGACCTCCAGCTTCCCCTCTCTGGATGTCCAGCTCCACCTCTGTGTGAACTAATGGGTGGAGTTATGTTTAGCGATAGGGTAAGGGGTATGGTTAGGGAGTGGTTGGGTGTCTAGCTCCACCCATTACATCCAGCTCCTCCCATTTGGCTCTGCAGCGAGCACCCTCTCCTTTCACATGCTTTTGGCTGCTATATTTTTTATTAATCACCAGATGGTGCTGTTTTTGAGACACTCAAAGCTTTGAATTTTTTCCCGAAACAGACAGAGGAAAGCCTCAGTGCTTCACGAGGCTTCATTTGCCCATCACTAGGGCTGTCCGTGAAGACACAGGCCGATCCTCGACTCAAATTAAGGCCCTTACTGATGCTGACTGCAGCCATAAGACGGCATCTTCTTCATCTTCTTGTAACTTTTATTGGCGGTGGGCAAGCCAACCATTGGTGCACAACTGAACTGGAGTGTGGAGTGACAATGAGAAGGATAAAAAAAAAATCTTATGTTCTCATGAAGTTTCCCGTGTCTCTTAGATGACTCATTCTTCTGAATTCTCTATTACCTAATATTAGTTCTAATGTCATATTATTTGCACCTTCTATCTGTATCTTTGTCTTTTAGTACGGCCCGCTGGATCATATTAGACTTGGATGATCACTAGGGCTGTCCGTGAAGACACAGGCCGATCCTCGACTCAAATTAAGGCCCTTACTGATGCTGACTGCAGCCATAAGACGGCATCTTCTTCATCTTCTTGTAACTTTTATTGGCGGTGGGCAAGCCAACCATTGGTGCACA